AGTGGGAATTGAACTTGTACTCAACCGCTTGGGGGTGCGACAACTTCACCACTTCACTAAGTCACCACACCCTTATTATATTCATATTTTGATCTGATCTGTGAAATAATTTTGGCTAATTTTATTTCATCTGAAGAAAGACTCGACTCTTTTGGCACATAGTTTGCCTTTATTTTTTTATTTTTTGGTTTTTTCTTATCGTTAGAATCGCTATTTTTAACAGATTTCTATAAATATATAATTAATATTATATTAATATAAAATATGTAAATTATTAATATGAAATTATATATCTTAGCTTTTCGCTTATTAGATTTTAATGTAATATATATCACCATTATTTTATTTGAACTTAGATTTTTTACTCTCAGTAATGAATAAATCGAAATCATATTCATCGTCTAATACCATCACTGGCCATGGCTATTTATCTTGTATGAAATTTCAAGATCATAGTTATTGATTTTCTTATTTTTAAGACACTTACCAGTATGTTTAGTAAGATCATAATGAAATGCATCAAATATATTTGAATAAAATATAAATCATTTTTTTGGCAATGGTGTAGAATTATTGATCTTAATAATAACTTTTACTTTTAATTCCGAACTTTCATTATTTGGTTGGTCAGTTGAAGAATCAAGATCGTTATTTGGTAAATCAAAGGTTGTTAAATAATTATCATCATGGTCATTATTAGTTGGAGAATATTTTGGATCATCTGGATCTTCTTTAGAACATGTAAAATGGCTATAACAAGTATTACAAAAGCTTATATTAAATTTTTTTTTAAAGTTGCAATCATAATACCAAAGTCTATTATATTTTCTAAGAAACAATTCTTGATTTAAAGGTGTTGTTTTAGGATTATAAACTCGACTGTAAAGGTTATGAATTTCATTGCAGAAAGGTTTTTCATTGTATTATATTCACAGAGATTTTCAGCTTCAGCAAGGCAAAAAATACATTTTCAACACGAAAAACATATTCCAATTTTATATAAAGACGACGATATTTTAACCACACATATGATAAGTGATTATATTCAGATTAAATACCTTTTAAAATTCATTGTGGATATCATAATATTTATATAACATACAAATATAACAAATGCAAACAAAGGTCTATATATTAGTATCTTTATTTTTAATATTAGTACTGACGAATATTACAAACTATGTATACAAATATACAAAACCAAATCACTAACAATAATGTACATATGTATATTAAAGTGTTAAAGAATTGTTAAATTCCTGAAATTGATGATTGGAAGTTTATAAGCACTCTTGATTACTTGCTAGACATATACATACTTGCATAAATACAATTATAATTAGATTTTAAGGGCTAAAACTCAATAATAGGTTCCTTTTGGCTGTCTTACTACCCAATACTCAGGGCTTATTCAAGATCTCCATTTTTAAGTTAAATAGTCCTGTGGATACTGTGTGAAGAACCAGGTACTATATTTGGAAAAATATTAAAAGTAGTAAATCAACATAGTTTTATTCAAGAAACAGGATGATGTGGATGGTAAATATGGATGCCTAAATTATTTTTGAAAAATCATATATTAGTGAAAAATTAGATGCTGCAGTAGCAGTAGAAGTGCAAGGACTTTATGTCAGAGATTTAGCTTCTTATTTACAGTAGTAACAGTGAACCGATTTTTGGCAAATATTTTAGCATTGCTAAAAATTTTTAATATAAAACCCTTTAAAATAATTATATTATATGATGTATTTTGATGAAAAGAGTTCAAAAAATTTTGGCAATAATTTCGGCAATATATAAAAATTAATTTCGACTACCTAAATACCATAATTACTTTTTTATTAAAATAGCTAATTTAGGCACCTATGTATATATGAAGAGTGTTATTTTTGGGGGATACTGTATACAGTGGTCAATGGTATAATTGTTAACAAGAATTTATACAGTATATTTAATTCAATAGTGTATATATGGGGTGCTAACAGGAGGTTATCTCATTATTTCAACTTCACTTGAGACAATTGTAATAGAATTTAGCTATCCTTTTGCTGAACTTTAGCTCTAGACTACAAGTCCAGACTGTATTATTTCATGGTCAGTTATATATTTAATTAGATTTACATCAATTAAAGAAATTCATAGTAATTTAAAGTTTGTCATGTAATTTTTAAGGTTTGGCAAATACAGTATTATATAGACAATCAATATTACGGGTCTATATATACTAGTTATTACAGATTTTATAGTCAATAGATGTGATCAATTTATTAATCGTGTTGCCTTTTTCTTATAACAAGAAAAGAGTTTTATTTGCAAGATATTTTATGATAGCTACAAACCCAGACTGTACAATTTTACAGTTATATATTTATATCAATTAAAAGATGCTTAGTAATTTAAAGCGTGTACTCTCTACCAGTTTTAAGAACTAGACGGTGAATACTCAGGGTATATAAGTATTGTATATATAGCACAATATATGATTGAGATATGTAAATACCGGGGTACCCATATCTGATAATGATAAATACAGTAATTTTTAAGGTTTGGTAAATATAGGCATTATATAAGCAATTATATTATGAGTCTATACTGGTTATCACAAGTTTTATAGTGATCAATTTATTAATCGTATTGCCCTTTTCTTATAACAAGAGAGTTTCATTTGTAAGATATTTTATGATAGCTACAAACTCAGACTGCACAATTTCACAGTCAGTTATATATTCTATTAATTAAGAGATGCTTAGTAATTTAAAGTTTGCTGTGTAATTTTTAAGGTTTGAAATATGGGTATTATGCAGGCAATCAATATTACAGGTCTATACTAATTATCACAGGTTTTATATTTAATAGTCAATAGATTCTATTACAGTAATCAATTTTATTAATCGTGTTGCCCTTTTCTTATTACAAGAAGATAGCTAAATATATAGCTAGAACCCATCCCTTCAATGAATACTGTCTCTTTATATATCTGTTCTCTTTTTAGTTAACGATTCCTATGATATGAAAAAATATTTACAAGAGCCACTTTCAAATAGAATTATTAATATAAGAGAACAAAAAGTTCAAATCAAAAACAATTAAATCAACATGACCTACCACTACTTGAGCAAAATGAAATCGACAAAGCTATTTTAAGAGCTTTATATTTAATTGATATAATGCATATATTATCAGCCTTTAAAATGCAAAAACTATTAAAAATAAAAAATCTAATTAGTTTTAATTTTTTGTATTTATAACACCCAAATTAATTTAATTAAGTTTGCAACACTAGTGATGTCAAGGGAAAACCTGACTCTAATTATATAATTAGAGTCAGGTTTTCCCTTGGCGTCATTATAGATAAATTTTACTTTAAATCCAAATATTCTAAATTAAAAGTAACTCCGATTATTCTGTTAGTTACAAGGTGAATAATTTTTATATAAGAGTTTTTAATCATCTTCGTAAAGGTCTCCTAAAAACTGTACGTACGTTCTACCCATTGTTAATGAATGTAAATCCTTCCAACGCTATGAATATCAGTAAATTATTATTGAATCTAATGTTAAGAATTCAATATTTTTGAAAACTCGAACAAATGAATCAAGAAAATAATATATGTGTTAATTAATTAAAGATGTCTTCTTATACTTACACTCTAATAATTTGACAGAAATATTTTTAAAATATTTGTCAGATGCATATTTTAAGATTACCAACGATAATTTAATAATAAATAATACTTACTGGCTAATATTCTTTGAGGATTGAACCTTACAGTGTTACGAGAATTAATACTGAATTCATGTATGGGTTGAATAACTGCTTTTTCATTACGAATATTACATACCAAAAAAAAGCTATTAATAAGTAGTTTTGGCTGACCAGAATCTGCACCACCTGATTTTTTTTTTTTCAGTGAAGTGGTATGGCAACAGTTTTTTCACCTTTATTTCTACTTGTTTTACATGTTTGACACCAAGCCTAAAAGAGTTATAACGATTAAATGTGAGCATTTTCCATTATTATAACTTCTTTAGAATGAAATTTATCAAATACTAGCATATATTCGTTAGAAATTGCTTTTTAATTCTTCTTTTGTTGCTTTTATACACAAGTTTTTCGATCCAAGTAGTAATTAACGTATTAATATATGTAGTAATAGGTCTTTCTTCTGGATCTGATTCCATATATTGTTTAGCTAATTCAACGTAATATTCGGGTGTTCCAGGAGCAAATTTTGGTTGAAATTCTTCACAAATCTTTAGTAGCTATATCTTTGAGTTAGTCTATATACCTTAAGGTTGTAATCCATTATACAATTCTTAAACTTATTAAATAGGTAAATATATTTATAAGTACATAAAATAGAGATATCCAATAATAAAATAAATATAAAAGTTAGAAGTTCTCTTATCTCTTCTAACAAGCTACTAAATCCTGATAATTATGCAGTGTTAAGGTTAATTACACATGGCGAAGTATATTTTAAGAAATCATTAAAGGACGTATAAAATAAATAAAAGCCATTATTATGTTCATACAAACTTACAAGTTCAGTTTCTTCAACTTGTGGTGCAGAAAGAGCTAATGTTCATACGTATATACAAATTAAATCTGTATAACTCAACAGTCATATAGTACGTACGTACGGTCACCAAGAGAAAACCTGTAATGATTAAAAATAGATCAGTACAGGAAATAATTTATTTTTAGAATCACAGGTTTTAATTAGATATGTAATTGTTTTTTGGTAACAATGTACGTAAATCAAATATCGATTTTTAATCGATATTTTAAGGTAATCTGGCATACGAATATATGCTATATATCCATATACTCAATTTTTTTTTACTCCGTTTTTAACCATTTCAAAAACTATGATAAAATAGATACGAATATATTCGAATTTATTAAAATAAATAAATAATATCATATTATAAAAATATATTATGTATGCAAATTAAAAAGAATATAACAGAATCTTATATATTATTTGAGAAAATTGGGTACTACCGGCTATTTTATTCTACTAATTGTGTCAATTTTGATCAAGTTCTTTAATATATATCAAATATGATACTTTCATTTTGTGGTATCTTCTATTGATTTAATCATAAGTCATTAGTAAAAATCTCTAATCAATTTTTTTATAGTAATTTGTCAGAATTTTCAGAAATTCAATTTTTATATTAAATTATTATAAAAAAAAAAATTCTGTTACAAGCTTACTATTCTGCAATATATACAATTCTTAAATAGTGCTAGATAAATAGTGCATTAATCAGCATCAACGATCTTTTATATATGATAAGTTCTTAAAATTTTTTTTATATGAAAACTTCCACTATGAACTTCGTCAACAGTCTTATATTTTGAATATTCTTAATATTTCTTTTATGAATTGAATATATAACAGAAATATTTTTTAAAGT